ACTTGCCTCAGCCAATCACGTCTATATCCACTTTGAAAACTGAACACCAAAATCTTCCATCTGTGGGCGAAGACATCATTTGTGTGAATGAGGACTAAGGTGACACAATGATTGGAGGACTTGCGACACTCATTTTTCTCAGTATTTTTGGTGAGTCCAGATCCACTCAGAGAATTTTCAGAAGACTGCTGTAAAAGTTTAGGTCACTTTATATTTTGAGAGGTTTTGTCCCAGGTCGTTTTGTAAATTTATTATCCTTTGTCTGTTTTATCTTTAGCTGTGATTCAAACCCTCGGGGTTTCTCAACGGATATCTTTGACTGAAGCTGCACTTGGTGAAAATGTGACTCTGTCATGTAAAGTCCTTGAAGTTAAACCAGGGTTGTTTTACTGGTTTAAGATGGTTTTTGGACATGTGGTCCAAACAATTGTTCTCGGGAGTTTTGACAAGTTAGTCCTTCAGGGTCAGTTTAACAATTCAAGGTTCAACGTGACGAGAGTTGGTAACACATATTTTCTCACCATACAAAATGTGAGAAAAGAGGATGAAGCGACTTACCTCTGTCAGGCGGGAACAGCATATACAATGAAATTCTTTAATGAGACTCACGTGGCTGTGAATGGTAAGTTTTAGACATCTTTCTACATGTCTTACATCTGTGTATGTACCAAAACAAAACAACTACATTTAAATCTTTTTTGTGTCTTTTTGGGAATCACTCAGATCCTAATAAAAAGCAGAAAGCCTTATATGTGAAGCAATACCCAGAGAGGGAGCAGGTCCCCCCGGGCAGCACTGCGACTCTGCAGTGCTCGCTTCTTTCGGGGAACGAAGAACCCGACGGATGTCCAGGGGAACGCCGCATGTTCTGGTACAGATCTGGATCAGAGCAGGATCCAGGCGTCATTTACACCGGCAATTTCAGCTGTGACGATCAAGAAAGAAGAAGCTGTGTTTCCCATCTGTCCAAACCCATCCAGAACCATTCAGACACTGGAACTTACTACTGCGCCGTGGTGGCATGCGGAAAGATCCTTTTTGGTAAAGGGACTACGCTTGAGACAAGTATGTCTTTTTTTAAGCTTAATTTTTTTCGAGGTTTCAGGCTATTTATGTCCATTAAAGTTTTGTTTGTCTGAAGTACTTGAAAAAAGAGACTGTGTTGTGGCAGTGTGAAAAATGACTGTACAGATTTGTTTTTAGGTCAACATTTCCTTTCTGTCCTTATTGTGATGTTCTGAGCAAGTGTTTTTTAGTCATTTCATGCAGTGTTGTTCTTCATATCAAGGGCACTCAGTGATTAATCTCTTTTAAGCAATCTTTGCTTAAAAGAGATAGTAACATAATGTGATGCAATAGGAAAAACCACAAGCTAGGACCAAATCAAAATAAGAATGACATTTTTTATTAATTGAAGCTCCTCTGTGTTAGGAAGCAATGGTTTACACCTGTGAGGCTGCACACAGGAGCACCATGCTTTTCCAGATACAATAATTAAATGCTAGTGTTTACCTATACTAAACACATGATACACAGAATCTCATGAAATATCAATCTCAATGCAGATTTTTCCATTTCTGGGAAAATGAAAACTTTTTTGACTCGACAGTATGTAGTTTGCATAAGGGACCAGCAACATCTGCGCAGGTTTTGAAAGTAGTGCAACATCCCTCAAATACATGCCATTTACAATTTGTCAGAGGGAACACAAGGCCCACATTTAGTTGTGTCCGATACTGGGCAGGTCGAAGCTCATGGTGAGTTTGACTGATTTGGAAAATTGCTAAAGATTAAACGATACTGTAATTGTCACATTGGGAAATTTTCTATTTTCAGAACAAGAATTCCCCCTCATCATCGTGCTTGGGACACTGCTGGCCTGCATGTCGCTTTTGAGTATTGCTCTGATTCTGACCAAGATAATGCAAAAGCAAGTTTGTGAACATTGCAAAGGTAAGCTCACTAAGAATTGGGTGCAGAACAATTCAATTAAGTCAATAAAGTGTAGGTTTTCATTAATTTCATAAAGCAAGACAAATGTATTGATGGATTTGTATCGCGGTTAATGTTTGGTTATCATTAACAGGAGATCCAAGTGCATCCGATTATGCTGAATGGGTCAGATCATCCGGAGAACAACAAAGCAATGTGGTAAATTCATTCATACATGTGGTCAAAAACAAAGCGTCACTTCGATCGTGCTACCTCTCAACACTGGAAAAATGCCATTAGGGATAAAGGGAGTCCTGATTTTTAGGACTAAAACAAAAAGCAATTGAATCTTGTAGGACAAACAAAGGAATTAATTTAGCTATCAAAGTCCTAAAAGTGAAGGCTGTTAAGTGGGTGATTTTTTACCGTTCAATAAAGTTTCAATAATTAAAAATCTATAATCTTTTGATAATAATATGCTGTTTGTTGTGTGCAAAATATTAAAATGCCATCTCTAACTTTATCATTTCACAGAATGGTGCAGACGTCAATTATGTTGCGCTGGACTTCGCCTCAATGAAAGCTAAAAGATCGAAAAATAAGAGGAACTCGTCTGAAGACTGTACTTACTCATCCATAAAGGACTATCATTAAAGGACATAAAGGATTAACTTAATGTTGCTTTTGTTCCATCAAAGCATCAGAAATGTGCAACCCGCCTCTGCACTTCCTCAGACCATATCCTGTAGGTCACAAAAGACCTGCAGGGTTTGTCTAACAAAGATGAGACAGCCTTCAGGGACCTTAAAATCACGCCCTCAACAGAATGGACAAATTACCCACGGCAGGATCCCTCTCTTTACTTTCTAATTCAGATCATTTAAAAGCTGGATGTGTTGAAAATCTAAATAGGCAAGCTCCAAGGGACTTTTTCTTCTGCTTCAACAGAGTTTTTAAGCACCTTTGAGAAACCACTTCTTAAAACTTAAAAAAAATATTTTTCAGTTTTCTTTTTTTTAAATTTCCCCCAAATGGTTACACAAGCCTCCCTAAGTCTCGTTCTACCAGTGTTCTTCCCTCTCTTTTACTACCTGACTTCCCACTATGTCTCCTTTCTAAGTCTTTGAATTGTTATAATATTGTCTTGTTGAATTAAACTGTATTCAGTTATAATAAACATTGGATTCAAATTGAGTGCTCGAAAGTCCCAATCATCATAGATGGACACAAGGATTCATTGTCCACATTAATCTTTCTATTACACCTTTCGCTCCGATACAGTTTCCATGTTGAAGATCAATAAAGTGTAATTCAATCGTGCATTTTTGAAAAATCACTGCAGAAAAAATCAATTACAAGGAATCAATGCGAGAAAATGATAACCGACAGGAAATGATATTTTTAGATAC